AAGTACAAGCTAGAAAGAGGAATAAATAAAGAGAGATACTTTTTTTATTTTTTTTATTTTTATGATGAAGTCAAGTAGCTTTGAAAGAGATGAGTTTTCAGCTGTCACTTGAAAATTGTCAGGGAATGAAAATAAGGATGTGAGGGATATAGAAATAAATTAAGGAATAAAATAAAACTTGCGGTATTCTCATGTTCCAAAGCTATCTGCTGTTATTTTTAAGTAGAAGGCACAATTTTTCAATTTATTTTGAATATTGTTGCAGCTGTATGCACACAAAATCATAGTGACCAATGAGTCCAAGTTCTAAAAAAATACCATAAAAGTAGTCTACTTTAATGTTATAGAAATGTAATTAGTATGTTACGTTTAATTTTCTTTAAAAATATAATTAAATACATTACACTAAGTATATAAACATTATAGGAAATAATACTGAAATAAAAAAAAAGCAAAATAGTTTTACAAATTTAATTAATTTTGAATGCATCTTAATCGTTACAAATAAAATTGTATTACATTGTTCTTCGGCCACCTTGCACTGTAGATATCAATATCATCATGGGCCAATACAAAGATCGGTCAACCCCTACTTTCTTATTTGAGTAATTTATTTTATAGGTTCTCCATTAATCTATTGCTATTCTGCGTCCGACTGTTCTCCCAAAACAACAAAAACTGATCATTTTCGTGACTGGAATTCAAATATTAGGTCTATCCAAATAGGCAAACACTCCCAGCTGCATGTATTTTGTACACTGTTTTTCTTTGTATTTGCACACTTTGTTTTATTAGCTCGTGTGCTTTTAGCTTTTTCCCATCTGCAGCCACGGACGTTCTGCCACCTGTTGAATGGTTGGACGTGTGGAAGGACTGAACTGGAGCAGAGTACGGATGAAGACCCGGCATGGTTCCTGAACACCAGCGCCATCCGGATAAACCAAAGACTTCCTTTGAAGACGGATAAGTCGCCTCAAGTTGGTATCATCGTATGGCATCGATCCAGTCACCATGACATATAGAATCACCCCGAGGCTCCATATGTCATACTTCTTAGGGTCATACGGCATTCCCATGATGACTTCTGGTGGAGTGTAGGCTGCAGAACCACAGAAGGTATGACTGAGCTCTGAAGGGTCTTGAACACAGCGGGCAAAACCAAAGTCTGTGATCTTAACTTGTTCTTCGGCTGTAAGCAGAATGTTTTCGCATTTGAGGTCCCGATGGACGATATCCATTTGGTGGAGGTAGTTGATGGCACTGACCATCTGAGAGAACAAGTTTTTGCTTTGGTCTTCTGGGATGCGGTTCACTTCATGTATCTTCTGAAGGAGATCTTTTGCTGCAGCTTCCATCACGATACACAGTCGCTTTCCAGCCACCTCAATTAACTCGTGCATTTGGACAATGTGGTCGTGATTCACTCGTCTCAAAATCACCAGTTCCCTTGGGAGAAACTTCTGGACAAAATCCTTTGGGGCCTTTACGCGGTCTACAATTTTGATGGCCACGTTACAGTGGTGCTTCTGCGAGGTGGCGAGCTTGACTTGGGAAAAACTGCCTTCACCAATCTCGGCTATGAATTTGTAGCCCATGCCTTTCAAAACATCATTAACAGACATTGTTTTAAATCTCAAAGGAGTTTACAACAACCACATGAATACTTTGGCTTGAGTTTGGATCACATTCCTCACCCTTGCTGCCAAGTATTTTATGTTAACAGGGATTTGAATTATACTGCATTCTGAGAGATATCAGCATTCTAATTTATGATGTCATATTAGAACATATACAAAATGGTGTCCAGGGGCAACTGATGGACAAGAAGAAACAGTCATTTAGCCCTCAGGTTTTTATTTGTACCCCATTAAATCCACATTATGCTAATATAGTATTTTGTTAATTTTAACAAGACTTGACTGATTGATGTTGAGAACCCTATGATCATTTTAGAAAAGGTGCTTAAACAAGTTTTTATCAGTTGTTGTACAGTCATGGCCAAGTTTTGGCAGTGACAAATTTTGTGTGCAAAGTTTGCTGCTTCAGTATTTGTAGATTATTTTTCCACATGTTTCTATGGTATACTGAAAAACAAAGATAAGCATATCATACGTTTTAAAGGCTTTTATTGGCCAAAAAATATATAATGAGTCAATTTTTACAGTGTTGACCCTTGTTCTTCATAACCTCTGCAATTCGCTCTGGCATGCTGGATATAAGCTTCTGGGCCAAATCCTGACTGATGGTGATCCATTCTTGCCTTGTTAGTTATAGGAGTTGATCACAATTTGTGGGCTTCTGCTTGTCCACTCGCCTTTCGAGGACTGACCACAGGTTCTCTATGGGATTGAGATCCGGGGAGTTGCCTGGCCACGGATCCAAAATTTCAATGTAATGATCTTCGAGACATTTCTTTATCACTCTTGCTTTTTAACATGGTGCTCCATCATGCTGGAAAATGCACGGATTATTACCAAATTGCTCGTGGATCGTTGGAAGAAGTCGCTCTTGCAGGACGTTTTGATACCATTCTTTATTCATGGCAGTGTTTTTGGGCAGAATTATGAGAGCCCACTCCCTCGGTTGAAAAGCAACCCCACACAGGGATGATCTCAGGATGCTTTGCTGTTGGCACAACACAGGACTCATGGTAGCGTTCACCTTTTCTTCTCCGAACAATTGATTTTCCAGATGTCCCAAACAGTCAGAAGGGAGCTTCATCAGAGAAAATAACTTTGCACCAGTCTTCTGCTGTCCAATCCTTGTACTTCCTGCAGAATTTCTTCTTCATTTTTTCTTGGAAAGAAGTGGCTTCTTTGCTGCCCTTCTTGACACCAGGCCGTTGTCCAAAAGACTTCGGCTCACTGTGAGTGCAGATGTTCTCACACCAACCTGCTGCCATTCCTGAGCAAGCTCTTCACTGCTGGAGACATGATTCTGTAGCTGACTCCTCAGGAGGAGACGGTCCTGGCGCTTGCTGGACACTCTGGGACGTCCTGAAGACTTCTTCACTGCAGTCGAACCTCTCCCCTTGAAGTTCTTGATGATCTGGTAAATGGTTCTTTAAGGTGCAATATTCTTTGTAGCAATTTCTTTGCATGTGAGGCCATTTTGATGCAAAGTGATGATGGCTGCACGTGCACACAATGATTGGAAGTGCTTCTTCCCTCCTTTTATAGCAATCAGTCTGCTCTTACAGTCTAATTAGTATGATTTTACCTGACTAGTACTCATTCACACTTTCACATGTGCTGCTGATATGATTAGTCAATTAATGTTAGCTGGTCATTTTGTGTCAGCATCAAAAAAACAGAAATTCGTTTTTTTTTTTTTGAAAAGGAAATTTTTTGGCCAATGAAGCTTTTAGCAATCATTTAAAATGCATCTGATCACTCTACACTATAATCTATAAACAATGTGTATGAACACCACAAAAGCATAAGCAGCAAACTTTGCAAAGCACAAAATTTATGTCACTGCCAAAACTTTTGGCCATGACTGTAGAATGGCGTCCTTTCCACCCCAAAAAATAAATAAATAACTGAAATTATCAATAGCAGTTTCCACCTCAGAGTAATATAAAGGTAACTGTAACTTTATATCCCATTATTGTTATTTACTTCCTGTAATTAGGACTTTATGGCCCGGTTTCACAAACGGGGCTTAGTTTAAGCCAGGACTAGGCCTTAGTTAAATTAAGATATTTAAGCAACTTTTACAAAAATGCCTTATAAGAAAACATTACATGTGTGCATCTTGACACAGAACAATGACATATTTTAAGATATGTTAGAGCAAGATATTTTAAGTTGAGACAGCCCAAACATGCATTTTAGTCTGGGACTAGCTTAAGCCTTGTCTGTGAAACCGGGGGATTATCTCACTCTTCTTACTTTAACATTATTTTAAAATTGCCGTTTTTATTTTTCACTTTGCGGGCAATTCAATTCAAGTTTATTTGTATAGCGCTTTTCACGGTGCAAATCGTTGCAAATCAGCTTTACAGAAAATTAAAATTTCTACATATTTAGTAATAACTTATCAGTGGTGACTATCTCAAATTGATATCCATATTGCAGAAATGTACGGTATAATTCAAGCAGTTAATCAAACAGAGGGTGAACACTATTAACAGCAATGATTATCAGTGCAATTCGTTATTGATTCTGCAACCATCCTTTTAATGATGTGCAAAGAGAGACCATTGAATATTCGAGATAGGCTACTTATACAATATGTCTCGGGAACACTCACAGAAACTTCCGTAATCCACCAATATGATGAGCAAAAATACATTTTGTCGAGCACTGAACGTGCTATTTCGACGCCCTACATCAGGTTAATGACCGGTGAGTGCTGGAATGGCTCATTAAATTCATTCTAATTTTATGTGCACAAATGCCTCTCATTAGTTTGAGATATCCCTAGTTTCAATAATTGTCGTTGTGCCTGCAATGACACGATATGACCTCTAAACAGCAGTGTGGCTCTAAACTGTAGCCATCTCCATTAATCCAGGTTTTATTAGAACACTTATATTATTGAAATTATTTAAAGCCAACATTTTAATTGTAAATAAGCCAATTCATGCATATTTATAATAAGATTAAGCACTTTAAAATGTAATGCTGTTTGTTTTATATGTGAGCAACATCACAATTGAAATGAATTAGTCTTATATTGGTCTCATATAAAATCATCCTAAATGGTCAAACCTTGAATATTAATACCTCACTGCATGAATATATGCATGACCAGTAGTATTATGTGTATTATTATACATAAATAATGTGCCAAAGCTGCACTGTGATGAATAAGCGTTTGAATTGAAATAGACATATTCACACTCTAGTACTGTGGATGCTACATCTGAAAGGGATGCAGTCCGTGCTTGACTGAGCACTCTAGCATCAGGGATGCTCAGCCAATCAGATGGTGCTCCCGGTGTCTCCCTGCTTCTTAATTGGCTGACACTTCCAGCAAGAGTAGCTGATCTATGCGTGGAGCCTGGGTTTATCAGCCAGTAAGCCTGTAGACAGAAGCAGGGCACACAGTGAGAAAATAAAGAGCAAAAAGAGGGTGACTGTTGCTAGAGATAAGCACGGCTAAATCAATCAAGATGAACCACAGCTCCAACGAGAAAGAACCTGAGACCATAGAGCCACTGCGTTATCTCAGGTATGCTCTTTTTTTCCCTTCTTCTTTTTTCTTAATGTGACCAAATTGGACATACAAAACCTTTTAAGACAGGTTTGTGTTTAAATGCATCTTAATAGAGATCCTAGTAAGGCTGAGTAATATTTCCACCATCCTTTCAGTCTAACTTTTAAGTAAATGCAATTTGTGACACAGAAGGAGGGCTGTAATATCCCTGGCTGTCTAAAGAAAATGCTTCTAACTTAATTTCCTCACTGCTTTCCTGTTTACAAAAATAAGACACATTAATTATGATCAACATGCTTTAATAACCTGTAAATGTGGGCGAACAGGTGGAAGGAACGGTCCACTTCAGCTGTCTCTACAGCAGTTTGTTGGTGATTTAGGCATGTTGACAAAGGTGATGTGACATTTTTGCTCCTGGACGTTGTGATGGCAACATCATGGCCAGCGATTTGCTCTTTAAACAAGCGGGAGGTCGTCTGTTTCCTCTGTTGAGTGAAATATGGCATGTTAGAATTGCTTTAAAGCATTATCAGTATGTAAAAGTGTCAGTTCAATCTAACATCTGACAAATTGCTTCATACTCTTGTGAGGTTTAGATCTAGCAGATGTAACCGGAGAATATATTTAAAAAATGACACCGAACAAATGGTGTTTTGATCAGGAGCCCGAGCGGCACGAGATTTCCTTTCCGGCAAGAGAGGCCCTTGGAGCTCTTCACACCAGCCCACGGCGTTTAAAATACAGTGGTCGGCAGGAGACGAGGCAAATTATACACTTTAAGGGAGGATGGAATAATAGGATTTAAGGATTTGAGGTTTTACAGCAGGGATTCAGGGGAGATTAATGTTCCTGCTGTAACTTAAAACCTTCATAGCTAATAACGTTGATTTTGCATGGAAACCACATAGTGTGAATGCAACAATTGGCTTTTCTATTATCGTTTTTTTTTTTTAACAGATTGATTTGTGGATTCGTACTGTGCACCCTGGGATTCGTTTATGTCAATGGCCCTTGCATCCTGTTATTGATGTCAGGTATTGATGCTGAAACAAGATGGACAACATTGGGTTACAAAAATGGGATTTTCGAGTCGTCAGGATCTTTCTCCATTGACAGCCATTCAAAACTAGCATTTTAATGAAATATTTTTACAAGCTCCATACAGTATCCACTAATTTCAATGCAGAAGTATGCTATTTCTCACTCATTAAACACAGTGTAGAGCTTGCTCAGGAATGGCAGCAGGTTGGTGTGAGAGTGAATGGCTAGGCTTCCGAATCATTAGCTGTAAATATCTAGAAGAATAACAAAGTACAGTAAAACGGTAAAACTGCCTAACTGTTTTTGTACAGTTAACAACTGAAAGCCTCGCACATTCAAGTTAAAAATGTTGTGCGCTAAAAATAAGGTGGATAAAACACTAATGTCTCATTATATTACATTAAATAATATTGTTTTTTCGGGCTCTTAAATGTGTAAAAAACGACTTTATTTTTTTTCTACTGCTTTTGACATCACAGCTTAGGATAGTCGCTAGTCAAGGGCTAGCATGCACGTTTTTGGGTGCGATTCAATCAATCGCTACTGTCATGACATCATTTCCGGTTTCAAAATGATTAGTCATATGGCAGATGATTGGCTCAAAAAACATGACAGATTTCAAACCGCCTACTCCGAGGGTTCCTGCACCTCACATTCAGATGAAAAGGAATGCTAACGGCTAGTGTTCCTCACATATTATGTTAAACTTATCGTTTCTTCTTTTTTCAAAATTGCACACCTTTTCGACCCAACGGTTGCATCACATGAAGAAAAAAGTTGCTGGATTGGAGTTAACAGGTGTTATTATGGTGTTTCGTTTCTGCTGGGTATTGGTGTTTATATATAGGCCAAGACTCCAAATGCAATAACAGAGCAGCCTGCATGATTTGTGGTTTGTTACAAGGCAATGCATTACTTCTAATGGTGGTAACCATTAAAGTTAGATTATGGAGGCAAAATCTCAGTTTACTCAGTTTGTCAAGAGTGCAACAGAGGTGTGTGCGGGGTTGTGATACAAGTGCGAATGGCTGAATATCTTCAGTCAGTTCAATAGGAGTATTTTCTGACCCTTTTAGGGCCTCATGTATTGATATCTAATGATCCATCGATTTACAATTATGATTTACATAGAGGCATCCACTGTCATTGTTCTCAGCTGGTCAAGCAAAATACTGTCACACACCATCTGTCTCTTCAGCTTTGATGCCAGAAACTGTCTGATGTACCATCAATCCAGATCTATCAAACGTGATCCAGCTAGACTCAAACTCTCGAGCCCGCGTGAGCACAATTATTCAATGTAACCACTAGGCCACGGCTCAGGCCAGAGCCATAATCTTTTTAAGTGTGCTAAATGAATAATAAACAAAACAATACACTTTTTGAAGCCTAGAGAAATAGACCTAGTAATATTAGTATGATAATATGCTATTCAGAATTCAAAATATAGGTTAGAAACGTTGTCAAAATATGAAAGTTATATTGTGACATTTAAAATATTATTGTGCCATTATTGTGTTAAATGAGAAAAACATCAAAGCATCAAAAGCATTTTTAATTAAATTAAATACTCTAAATGAGAAACTAAAACTGCCAGTAGGTGGCGGTAAATGTCTTAACGAGTAAGTCATTCATTCATTCATTCGATTCGATTCGTTCAAACTGCTGATTCATTCAGGAATTAAGTTAATGGCTCTATTTTTGAATGGGCCATTGAATCAGGTTTACCCGATTTGTGTTGCTCAGAGACGCAAAACACTTCTACTTTGGCTTTATAGCCAGGTAATATTTTTGTTGGCAAAAACTGAGCCTAAACAGATTGTTTAAAATATAACTTCTTATTTTTTGAACTGTTGTAAAAAATCAGTATCACATTTGCACCCGTGCTATTTGGGACTAAAACAGCACTCGTGTGATATTGCTAACTATATCACATGATATAAAAATGAGACAAAAACTCATTGTTGCCCTAATATCAGGCAATGCGCAGTGTTCCCCCTCAAACCAATCAAAACAAGAGTTTTAATGGTCGCTTAGTTTCTATTTCCGCTGGGTAGCCCCAACCGTGCTGAGGTATATATCGCCAAATATCGCTCACAGATTAAACACCGAACAGAGAGACTGGTCTTTTGTTAGCTGATATTATAGGACAAATCCATCAAATTCCACAAGGAAAAACATAAAAAACATGCCCTCTGCTGAAGTACCACCGTACGATGTCTTTTTAATTTTACGCTCTTATAACCATCAGCTTCTCTCCGCACAAACGGAGAACTCTTCTGATTGGCGTGTTTTGTGCTGGACTGCGTCATGTCAAGCCATATTTCCGCGCTCGGTGTTGACAAAGAAATTGCTGGCGAAGTTCCTCTAAGTAAGTTTAATAATATTAAAGTAAGTCTATATTCTTTGTAGTCAGTTAAATGGTGTCACGCTTCGTACACAGTGGGGTGGATTTGGTGACGTCAGCCGAAAAGGATAGTCATTTCAGAACTGAGTAATTAGTTAAATTTTTATAAAAACTTTGTTTTTCTATGGAATAATGTACAGTGATAACATGTATTATGAAAGTAAATACAATTAATTGATTTCACGTTTACCATAGTTGATCAAATGATTCTTAAATGCAAATACCTCTAATATAAGAGCAGAGTTAAAGGGATACTTCACCCAAAAATGAAAATTACCCCATGATTTACTCACCCTCAAGCCATCCTAGGTGTATATGACATTCTTCTTTTAGACGAATACAATAGGAGTTATATTAAATAATGTCCAGGCTAATCCATGCTTTATAATGGGAGTGGATGGTAGCCCAAAATTTGAAGTCCAAAAAATTGCACCCATCCATTATAAAAGAAGTCCACATGGCTCCGGTGGGTTAATAAAGGCCTTCTGAAGCAAAGCCATGCGTTTTTGTAAGAAAAATATCTGTCGTACGCTCGTTCACGAGAGAGTGGCATCCAGTGGATGACGTAGGACGTAGGCGTAGCATAAGCTCCAGTGAGAATATGCTAGTCTCGCGAGAAACAAGTTGTGTTTACAGCAAAGGAAAACCAGTGTCCTCTTGACTTGTATCAAAATTCTCCAACATTTTTCTTTACAAATCCTCGTTTTGTACTACTAATTCATGACCTGTGTTTTGTTTCATTCTCTCCTCTGCGCTTCCACGTTCGTCACTTCCTCGTTCGTCTCTGCGTTTGCCTACGTGCTACGTCATCCTCTGGACGTCACTTTCTCGTGAACGAGCGTATGACAGTCAGATTTATAAAGTTGTAAATATGGATATTTTTCTTACAAAAAACGCATCGCGTCGCTTCAGAAGGCCTTTATTAACCCACCGGAGCCGTGTGGACTTCTTTTATCATGGATGGGTGCAATTTTTTGGACTTCAAATTTTGGGCTACCATCCACTCCCATTATAAAGCATGGATTAACCTGGACATTATTTAATATAACTCCGATTGTATTTGTCTGAAAGAAGAATGTCATATACACCTAGCATGGCTTGAGGGTGAGTAAATCATGGGGTAATTTAAATTTTTGAGGGAATTATCCCTTTAAATACATCCATTTTTGATTATTAAGATACTAAAAGAGCAGAGTGGCAGATAAAAGACTTTATCTGCCACAGGAGGATTTTAATGTTCGTTTTATTTTAGCCTCTTTTGCTTATCCATCCGAGCTCCACCTGAGTCAGCTCATATAGAGCCTCATTTACTGAGCTATAAAGAGGATATTTTAATCACAGACAAAATGACTGGGTATACAACACAGCCATTTCAGTTTTACAATTTTTGAGGGAATTATCCCTTTAAATACATCCATTTTTGATTATTAAGATACTAAAAGAGCAGAGTGGCAGATAAAAGACTTTATCTGCCACAGGAGGATTTTAATGTTCGTTTTATTTTAGCCTCTTTTGCTTATCCATCCGAGCTCCACCTCAGTCAGCTCATATAGAGCCTCATTTACTG